CTTAGTTTGATATTGCACAAAACTAAGGAATGGTCAGAGCTTATGTCAGCTCCTTGAAACGTTCTACAGTTGATGACAGATGTTTTCCAGCGTTTTGTACGATGATCAGGTCAATCATGTTCTTGTGCACGCCGTTTGGTGATTCCCATGTCCATTTTCGATTTGGTTTTTGTTGAAATATTGTATTACAAATGAATAAATTATGTAACGTTGCAAACTCTGGTAAATGCTCACAACGTTCATTTCTTGTCCCAAACCCATATCTATCCATGGCGGATCCCCAGCCTGTGTTGTCGTCATCCACCTTTGCATTCCAATCACCAGTTATGATAAGTATATCTTTTTTTTGAATTTTTTTCATGGCATTTTCCAGGTTGTCATAAAATGCTTCAATTTCGTTCTCCGATGTATCAAATGTCGGAGCATATACATTAATTATTGTTATATTGAATGGTGTTGCTTTAAATCTTGCAGTGATTAATCTTGAATTGACTGGATTGTAGCCCAAAAGTGACTTTCGGGCTCTTGTACTAAGTAGCATTCCTACACCTTTAGTGTGTGTTGTTTTCTCCGGACCAAATAAAATCACCATTTGATGTTTCACCTTTTCCTGTCCAACGTACTTCTGAAATGCCGATGACATCGTATCTCAAACACTTCATTTCATTCCTTAGTAGTTCCAGTTTACCAGTTGCCCATAGTGTTCGAACATTCCATGTACCAGCAGTAAAAATATCCTTCGTCAATTTTAGTTTGTCCAAGTCAGACTTGTTCACTGTTGTTGTTACTGCTTCTTTGTCGAAGTGTACTTTTTTGGCGTTGATGGTGTTATTGTATGTCTTGTTGTTGTTGTTATTTCTGTATGAATGGTTGTACCAGTAGCCAATTTTTCGACTCTGTCCTGATTCCACGACAGAGGACGCGAACCTTGCTCACTCGGGCGACGTCCGAGCCGGTATGATTTTCGATGTCGACCATTTATGGTTGGTTTCTTTCGTCTTTTCTGTTTTAAAAACGGTGGTATCTGTACCCATTTCGCTTAACACTCCTCCTTTTTCGGACTTGCGGTTGGCACAGAAATCACTGGATTGTGATCTCTATGATGGAGTTTCAGATTATGATACTGATTCAGAAACCGATAATTATTTAACAAATAATGATAATAATAATTCAAAGCAGAATATTTCGAAATTGCTGTCGTACTTTGTCAAAATAATCGTTCTCCGGATGTGTAAAATTCAAAATATGGAAGATTTTCAAGAGCCTAAAGAAATAGCACAGCAGTGGTTCAAATTTACTGGCAAATATTTGAAAGAAAAGAAATGTCGGTATTATTTGATCGAAGATATTAACATATTCGAGTCTTGTCTATCTGAATTACTCAATGAAGATTATCGCATACTTACGACTGATCTTAAATTGGCTGAAAGTATCGAATCAAACATTTTTAGCGAACAACAACAAATTAAGAGCTATTATCAAAGTGACTAATATTTTGCACGTAAATCGAAAGGCAAAGATGCTCCAAATGTGATAGCCTATTATCGCTTACTCAAAGAACAATGGCTAGATATAGCACCAGCTCAGACTTCGAGTACAGAAAGTGACTTTGAAGAATATAAAAAACATATGAAACACATTACATTTGGTCAATGGTGACAAAATTCAGAACTAGACCGAATTTCAGCGTATTTCTTTCGATGAAGAATTGATACACTACACCAGGAAACTATTGTCGGGTGAGTCTATTAGTAAATATAGTCCAAGTGAGTTCGCCAGTAGTCTGATGCCGAGCGGATATTTCTTAAAAGTAATTTCTGATGCTGTCTCCGATCCTAATTTTACCGGTCAATGTATTGGATGTAGTTCAAATCTCTTTGAATCGTTTAAAAATATGCCTCAATATTTAATGAATCCCGCAAATATGCAGTATAGATTAATTTCAATCTGAACTTTTCTGTTCGGTGCCAGTTCCGACATACTATCATCATTCATTAATCGAACGCTGATGGATAGTCATCTTGATGGTCCTTAGTTGAACTTAGGTCAACGAAGATTTATTGTTACAACACATCAGCAACCCAACGCCATCAACCAAATATTCAATATTTTGGTTTCTCAATTTCCATCGGCACACACTTCTAATGTGACACAAGTCTACATATTAAAAAATGATCAATCCCTATATCAATTCACCCAACAGAGTATCCAGCTCCAACATATTAAAGAACAGTCAGCGATTTACACTAAACAATGGTCACTATCATGGCAATGGAATGGTCCGGACTAAATATCTTTGGATAAACCTGATCAAACTTTTAAAAAAATCAGCATTTCTTCAGTTCAACATAAGAATAGTTGCTATTCATTTAACCAACCTCTGAAGTCGTTCTCTTTCTCTGTAGCTCATTTTACACGTCTCGGATAAAATCAGCCATCAGATATCATTTTCGTACCCGCCTTTCGAGCACAACATTTTCGCGGGTGGCACTTCCACACGAGATACTTTCACCAGTGACGCCCAATCCGTAACCATGCTAACACGCTCGTGTATTACGCGAAATATCCAACTTCTTTTGCTGTCAAAAGTAAAGCAAAAGAAAACAGCTTCAAGCATTTACAGATCGTATAAGTCAAGTTGCATGATGTCTAATTTTTAATCTTCTCCAGATTTTCGCGCATAATTTACAATTAGTGTATTCAAAAAAAAGCCAGTAAATATAAACATGTCTATTTAACTCTTCTTTGCCGTTTAGTTTTGATTATGTAGTAATTACTTAACTTGACGCATAAAGTTAAGTATGTTGACGTTTTTTTTTATAAACAAAGAATAGAAAAAGTGCAACTCTCAACAACAATGCTAGATTATTGTGAAACGAAATCAAAACTATGATCTATTAAAATTAGATTTTAGATTTATTATAATTTTTGCTAATTAATTATAGCTAATTCTAATAAAAATTATTAACCTGCTTTGTTGTGAAAAAAAAAATCAAAATTATAACTGATTAGAATAATTATAAGCGATGAAAATTTTTGTATCAATAGATTATAATTTTGAATTTTGCTTCATAATAATCGAAGCTTATTATTTGATTTGTGACCATGAAATTTGTAGATATTAATCATCGAAAATACTTCGTGGGATGTTTTCGTTATTCGGTTTTTCTGCCTCAAATGTTAATGAATGATGTTCAATAGTAGTCGATCCTTCATTAATGATTCAAGAAGATAATGGATCAATAGATGTTTCTGCTGTGGTCATTATGGATGATGAATTCATTGTAGTTGTCGATTGCCTTATTATTCGATTCGATTTCATTTTAGAATTTAGTATTAGTGATTTGACAATAATAGGTTGATCATTTTGATCGCTAAATGGATGCTCACTGATTGAAGTTGATACAACTTTGGTACTCTTGAGTGAATGTTGAGGAGTACATTTTTGCAGAATTTCGTCAACAACATATTTATAAACGTGATTTTTCTTGTTGTGAAAACGCGAGCACGAAAAAGGTGGCAAGTATGTTTCGATTGTTTTTTCTTCATTGTTTGTAGTCTTTGATGAAACATCAATAGTGTTGCCTATGTCGTGATCTATACTTTTAATTCTATTAGACGTGTAAGCGAAGCATACATCAATTGAATCATCAAGGGTATGACTCCAAATATCACATTTGTGTGATTGATTGATGTTTTCTGATGAAAGTCTAGATTCGAGCTGTAAAGTTTGATTATTGATATCGATTAGCCATCGAATCCATTGATTGACTAATTTTTGATCACATGAGTGAGGTGGCAAACATGTATAGTACATTGTACTCCAAATAGATGATATTGAATTTTCTACTGTAATAATCATATCAAAACTCATGTGTTTTTGTATGTTATTCTTAGGCTCATTATAGTTGATGGTTACGTGACCATCATGTTGACGATAGTCGGCTTCCATATAGACGTCACAACGATTGATATTGTTCAAGAATGGTTTAATCTTTTCATTCAATTCAATTAGAGTCAATAAAAAATTTGTTGAGCGAAGATTAGTTGGTGTACTGGTAAAAGATTGATGTGTACAAGATAAACTGTGTGTACCTTGAATAAAAATAACAAAGAGAAGAACATAGAATATTTTATCAAGATGATGTTAGTAGAAAGATAGACAGAATTTTTCAGACGACATAATTTTAAATTTCTGTATTTTCATAAAATTTGACTATACATATCAATCAACGAAGAAATATTGTATTCGATTGCTTAGAATTACGAAAGAGTAAATTGTGAGATATCAAGGACTTGCTAAACACTATATGTAGTAATTTTTATATCTATAGCTACTATTCAGTACTTTATAGTCTTTTAAGATATTTGTAGTAATTCGTAAGAGAGAAAGGCAACATCGTACTCGAGCACTTTGATATATCCAGAAGTAGTTCGAAGTAGTTTGAAACACGAAAGTTTCCACTTGATATCATCGTTTTGTATGCTAAGAAAACAGATTTCTAGTAGAAGCTAGCAATGATATGCACACAGTTCTAATTAGAATGGAAAATTTTAAAGAAAAAAAAAAACTCTGTCTAAGTTATTTTAGAAAAGTAGAATTCTAAAAAGAAATTAGTATTGTTATGTACTAAATGATAAAAAAGAGTAAACTATGTTCTATAATTCTGTTGCTATTGATCTAGACTTCAAATAAGTATAAAGTTTATATACTTAGTTAGTATATCATCGATTTCAAATAAGTCTATGTATAATTATTGTATAACAAAATCAGTAAAAATGTTATTCTAATAAAATCAACGTTTTTCTCATAAAACTTGGTTGAATTTATTTTTACATGGGTAAAATAGAAAGGTTAATGTATTGTTTTAGATGATCATTAGTAGTAAAAGAAAACTTTCAAGTATACGTACTAGCACTGAAACGTTGATGATCTGTGATGTCATAGGATAGTTCCTGAGTAAATTTGTTTTTCATACAATTGTATTCGAATTCAATTGGTGAGTTTTGTGCAGATTCGATTAGTTTTGTTTTCACATAGATATAAATTGAACCTGATGATCGATTTTCGAGACAACTACCATTGTTCAACGGGATATTTTTCAGTTCATCGTAAAGTGCAAAACACATGTGACTTGCACAATCGGATGTGACATTTTTCCAATAACATCTCGTCGATTCAGAGGAATTTGACAATAGATGGGTAATGCTAGTATGTAACGGATTATAATCGGTGCCGAGCAATTGTTTAACCCATTGATTGACAAATGTATGTTCACAAAAATGATTTGACGAGCATACATAGTCAATATAGCTCACCATTGATTGTTGATCGTTTTGTAACGTGAATGTTGTCCCGAATTCCATGTAATCACAAGTATCACTTACAGCTTCACCATAAGTGACATTCACGTGATCATCTCCTTCAACATTATAATCGACGATGATAGTAACACGACAAACACTGTCATTACCCCATGATTCTGGTTGAAAATTTGTTTCGGTCGCGTCTGATTTGATAATGTTCCAATCGAAATTCTTTCGAGATAATCGAAAAGAATGTCTAGAGTCAACACAGGAGAGACCATTAAG